GGCCATGTCTTTTAATATTAAAAGTATACACCAAGTTTGATATTGTTACCCATTAAATTATAATTATCATGTAAAATGAAAAAATTGCCATTGTCGTTTCAAGTGATGAATGCTGTGGATTTTGCATTAACAAACAACTCTTCTTTAGAAGTGTAGCATTACACAAAATCATAACTGAAAGTGTTGCATTTTACGTAACCAAATGTAAAAGTGTTGATATATAGTCCTGGATACGTTCATGATCCTCCTTTCAAACTCTCTTAGCTGGTAATAAAACTGAATTCGTCTCTTGCTCTTCTGCTCAAAAACGTCACCCAGAAGCAGCTTGGGTACACTTGCTCTAATCACTGGAATCAAAAACTCATAATTATTAGTTTCTTTACACATTTACTGATAATTAAACCTTTGTATTTGTGTTGCTCAAGAACATCTACGAATTTTCCAAATATTTTTGTTTATCCCGTTAAATGGTCGACCTGTACACAAGAAAATAGATTGCCTAGCTTCTTCACACCTTAATTCTTTTTAAGAAATGAAAATTTTATTGATAATTCTGACAAAGACAATGAATAAAGGTGTGAAGAAGCTAGGCAATCTATTTTCTTGTGTAGAGCTACCAAATTAATGAAAAATGACCTTTAGACGAGCCCGGTGAAACTAATTTTGAGTTTTTTCTGCGTTTAAATGTAATCATGCAAGCCCATAAAATACGCCTACTGTACATATATATATGTGCAAACTTTCGGATTGAGTCGTTTCTAATCAAAAACCATTAGTCTAGCAATCAATCATAAGAATTGGATTGCTTGCTCCATCGACCACCACCGTCTACGGACTCTCCGATCAAAACATTTGATAGGGATACTCTGAAATCCTGTTAGTGATTCCAAATCAAAATGACCCATTTATGCTTGACTCGATCCATGACTCGTAAGACGATGATCGAGAGCCAAGAGTTTAAGAATTGAGAGAGCGCTTTTTAAGTCTCATGATCGGGAGATTGAGAAGAACAATAATGGCTTAATCGTCAGAACTGCGGGTGTTTTATTTTTGCTAGTAAGTAATTATTACAATGGTTTTACTGTCATTTCACCAACGATTTAGCCTAATTTTTTAATTTCAAAATTTTTGGCCTATTTCTCGAATTTCTAATAAAATTTAGCCTATTTTATTAATTCTCCTTAAAAATTTAAGGTTAGATGTAATAATTATTGAGAAATTTCAAAAAATGCCACTTTACAAAAATGTCACACTTTTGAAATATTTACAAAAATACTATTTTTTAAAATTATTTTTTCTTTATATTATTTATGTTTGGGTTAATTATATTCTATTAGGGTTTAGTTTTGAGTGTTTAGGGGGTTTTAGGTGTCAAAACATTTTTTAGTGTTTAATTTTAAGATATATGCTTTATAAATCTATAATTAGT